GAGAAAAAAGAACTTTTATTATAAATTGTCTGGATTATCTAAATTCTTCTTCCAATAAAAGGGAAAAAAGCAAGAGGGGAAAAAACACAGTCAGAAAGATAATGTAGCAAAAGAATACAACACTGTGTTTACACAGGTAGTCTTAATTTCTTTCTTCCAGAGAGACTTTATCAACAGTTCAGTGTTATCAACAAAAAAAGTCAATTCTTCTTAGCCAGCTTCCTTCCTTTCTTTTCAATCAGCTTTATTCAGGCAACTTTTATTTACCACTAGATGGCAATGCAGACCATGCAGACAATGCAGACAAGTAAATCATTGTATTTGTCTTTTAAATCCATAGCTCTAAAAGCAAAGATTATGAGAAAGTCCAAATAAAGAGTAAAAAGTCAAAATTCCAATTTGCTTTCTAGCCCTTAAACAGTTAAGCAATTCTCAAGAGCTATTATTTCTTTTATTCTGTTAATGGCTCTGTCTGTTTGCTGCTAGCACGAGAGTGGGAGAGCTTTCTACCCCCCCACTCCCCCCTGTCTCCTGCCACTCTTTCTTTAAAAAGTTTTTAACTGGAGATTAAAGTTAATTAAAGGGATGTTGTATTTAAGGCAATCTTATTATCTCACCCAGCCGGTCAATTCGCTGATTTTCCAAGCTTGTTGCAGTCACCCAGCTGGGCAGCTCATAATGGCTACCTTCCTTGCTTTAGGTCAGGGGCATCGCAAGCAATTTTGCAATTTTGCAGGCATTTTAGGGGAATTGCAGGGATGCCCCAGTCCCTTGCCTTCCCTGGGGTCTCTACCTGCATGCACCTCTGTCCTCAAGCTATGGCCCCCCAAGTGAAAGCAATTTATCTGGCCAGCAGCCTGTCATGCTTAGCCAAAGTGCCGCAAGGGGTTGGTGTGGGCACAGGTGGGCTAAAGCAGTTTGGGAGCCTTACCTGTAAAAATTCCCATGCAGAAAGCACTGCAGTGGAGAGAAGCAGCCAGGTTCAATCTCCAGCATCAAGTTGCAGCTGCTTCCTCCAGCCCTTGGTGTTGAGTGAGTCTTGGTTGCTCACTGAACCTCTCCACATGGTCTCCAGGTTGGCGGATGCTTCTCTCTGCCACTGCTGTTTCCTCACATCTTGTGCAGAACAGCTAAATGTAGCAGCCGTGATGTGAGCCACCCCTTTCCTTGAAGTCTCTTCCCCAGAAAGCACTGCAGTGGAGAGAAGAATGCTTCTCTCTGCCACAGCACTTTCCGGGGATGGGACTTCGAGGAAAGCAATGGCTCACATCACAGCTGCTACATTTCACTGTGCTACGAGCTCTCCCAGCAAGAGCAGCAGCAGAGAGAAGCAGCTGCTGACCCAGAAAGCACCTGGATGCCGTCAACACCATGTGCTTTCTGGGTCAATGGCTGTTTCTCTCCACCATTCCTATTGCCTTGTCTGCACAGCACAGCGAAATGTAGCGTAGCTTTCCCAGCAACAGCGCTTCCATTCCTGGCTCAAGGACTTACTGTATCCTAATGGCTGTCAGGGAGGGTAGGGGCTCCAGACCAGCTAACCTAGGCTGTCTTTTCCCAGGCTTGGTTGAATCCCCAATGATGAATCATGAAGTGTGACACTTGTATTCTGAAAGGATGTTGCTGGGCACTTGCTATTGTGACTTAATGACTTTGAAGTTTGATCTGATTTGGATCCTGAGTGAGGGCTTATAATCCTATCACCCTGGAGGCTGGGGCTGAAAGGTTTTTGTTTTGTAGTAGATAGGAATAGGATGGCCCAGTCTTTCTGGGGCTGTTAAAAAAGGTGGGGGCTGCTTTCAAAGAGCATGTTTTTCCTTTTCTCATCCAGGGAGGTATAATATTCTGCCTTTTTATACTTCCTAGAATATTTCATTCTTCTAGGAGATGGGTTGTTGCTAACTTTCTACAGAATAAAATAGTAACAAGAATGTTTGAATACTAGATTTGGTTACATCTGATTGTTTTTGTGTTAACTCTTTTGAAATAGATAATTATGACATAATGGCTTGCTGGAAGAAATTCCCCTGATTTGTTCACAGCTGGGGCAATTATTAAGGTGATTGCTCTGAATTCTGTCTTCCTGTCTTAATGGGCTAATCCTATTCCTGGGGCTTTGTCTTTCCTATCCTGGGGGTTAATTCTGCCAGGAGAGAGGAAAGGGGAAGTTCCAGGTGTATATAATGGCTGTACTTAAGTGTTTCTATTGCCAATTGTTACTTGGGCTGCTCTGAGTTTTCCCAAAGGGGGAAGGACTGGCTTCAGTTTCTTGACACAGTTTCCTCTTGTGCATTTCTCCAAATTTTATGAACCATTTCTTGGCTGGAAAACTGCTTAAAAAAACAGGCATACTGAAAAAGAGAAATGCAACATAGCCACCAAATATAGAAAAATGATTAGCTGTTCTGACCCCCCCCCCTTCTCTGCCCAGGAATGAAAGCCAAAAGCCACGTAACTAAAAAGGTTTCTTTTAATCAGTCCAAGCTCTTGTTGGCTGCAAGCCCAAATAAACAAAGATAATTAGCTCTGGCAGAAAGTCCTATAACTCACACCAAAATGCAAACCCGGCTTCTCTTATCTCAAACCACTCATCCAAGTTAGCTTCTCTCGGTTTGTGAACGCGAACAAGAACAATCACTAGAACGGGAACGGAACGTTGACTTCTGCCACCAGGGCGTGGCACCAGCAGTCTCTTTATACACAGGAAAGGATCCCGATGAGCAACAGCTGCTCGCAATCATCTCCTGTAAGTACTCAGTTGTTCCTTCCGTCGAGTAACCTTTCAACGGGGTGCATCCTGCAACAACTCCCAAGAGCCAAGGTGGCGCAGTGGTTAAATGCAGCACTGCAGGCTACTGCTAGATCAGCAGGTCAGCGGTTCAAATCTCACCGGCTCAGGGTTGACTCAGCCTTCCATCCTTCCGAGGTGGGTAAAATGAGGACCCAGATTGTTGGGGGCAATATGCTGACTCTCTGTAAACCGCTTAGAGAGGCCTGAAAGGCCTATGAAGCGGTATATAAGTCTACTGCTATTGCTATTGCTAAGTGTTTCCCTGAACACTCCCTCTGATCCAATGCTCTGCCGCCACCCGGTGGCCAACGGCTCCTGCCACAACAATTAGCTATCTTACTGATAAACAAGGGTCAACAAAAACATCATTCAATCTGTATCGTTAAGTATTGAAGTTCTGTCAAATCACAAAATGCTTGTTCAATTTCTTTTCATTCTGTTTCATTAAACTTTTATTTTTAACACTGATAATGGGTAAGCAAATATAAGGACTGATTCTCACAGCCTTACTTTAGAGCTGCTTCTTATGGTCATATTTAGCTACTGATGTTCACTGAGAGTCCTATGTTGGTGTGGAGGTCTTTTAATCCAAGCTCCTGCTCATGCAGGAAACCCTATACTATTTCAGACAATTTGAATTTGTACGTTACAAATTGTCCACAGCAATGGATGAAAACAGACTGTACATTGTTGGGTGAAAACAGAGATCCCTTCCATTACCTGTAGTTCTCAACTTACAACCACAATCGAGTCCAAACTACAAGATAGGGTTTTTTTTTGCAGTAGCCCTTAACAGTATGAAAAGGCAACAGAATTTGACAGATTTTTTCACTAAGAAACTTAGATCGTAATCAGATACAACAGAAGTGGCCTTGGATGATCCAAAACAGTCACAAGCACAACCACTCCAACTTGGAGAAAGCAGCACGTCAATTACTGAAAGAACGGATAACTCCAAAATTGAAAATAATCTCCCTGACTTCTGGACATTGCAACAGTATAACAACTTTAAAGAAAAATATGAGGGACTGGTAATTTCAAACAAAAAGTTAGGTTGCCAGTATTGTACAAAATATAACTTTACAAAAGAAAAAAGTGTTCAGGTGTCAAAAGAATTGAAACATTTCCAGGTTGAGGCAGTAGGCAAAAATAAAGAGGTACAACAAGCTTCTCTAAGAAAAAAAATAAAAGAACATTTTTCATCAAAAGCTTCCACAGAGAATTTAAAACAATGTGAGCAGGATGCAACAAAAGGAATAGATAAGATGACTGGCAAATATATAAGTACTACTTATAGAGTATTCAATACAGTTTACAGCCTGGCACAAAGATGCAAACCATTTTCAGACATAGAAAATGAGATAGAATTAAAAATTGACTAGATATGGGAATAGGATTGCATTCACTTAAAAGTGCAACAGATCCCTTCCGTTACCTACAGGCCTTCACCTGCAACCACAATCAAGTCCAAAGTACAACATTGTTTTTTTTTCTTTTGCAGTAGTCGCCTTTAACAGGATGAAAAGCCATCAGAGTTCGACCACTTTTTTCAGCAAGAAACCAAGACTGGAACCAGATACAATAGAATTGGCCTTGGATGATCTGAAACAGTCACAAGCACCACCACTTGAAATTGGACAAGACAGCAAGTCAATTATTGGTGATTCTGAAATTGAAAATAATCTTCCTGACTGCTGAGATTGCAACAGCATAACAACTTAAAAAAAAAAAAGGGGACTGGAAATTTCCAACAAAAAATTAGGTTTCAAGTATTGTGCTAAATTTGACTTCACAAAAGAAAAAAGTGTTCATATAGCAAAAGAATGGAATGAACAAGCTTCTCTAAGAAAAAAATAAAAGAACATTTTTCATCAAAAGCTCAGACTTTTTCTATAGGGAACTTAAAACAATGTGAGCAAGATGCAGTAATAAAAGGAATAGATAGGGTTAGGGTTACGGATGACTGAAAAATATTTAGGTACTACTTGTAGAATATTCAATACAGTTTACAGCCTGGCAGAAAATTGTAGGCCATTTTTATTCATTAAAGGAGTGATAGAATTGCAAATCAAAAATGGAGTAGACATGGGAATAGGGTTGCATTCACGTAAAACTGCAGTGAAAGTAGTGCATTCCATTGCGAAAGACACTAAAACAAAATTATTTACTACAATAATTGAAAATAATCTGAAAATATGTTTGATTATTGATGAAGCATCAACACAATCTAGCAAACCAGTTTTTATACTTTACTTAAAAGTTGAGCATTCAGTTACCTCACCAACAATTTTTGTTCAGCTATTGAATTAGAAAAGTTGAATTAGAAAAACAAGATGCAGAGACAATATGTTCTTCAGTTATTGAAAGTTTAAATAATGTTGTGTTTACTAAGAAGTACCTGGGGAAAAAATTAATAGGATTTTGCTCCGATGGTGCCAGCGTTATGCTTGGGAGAAAATCTGGAGTAAGCACTAGAATAGCAAAAGAATTTCCAAACATCATAATATGGCACTGCTTAAACCATTGCCTCCAACTTGTTTTAGATGATTTGATAAAGGAAATAAAGCAAGTAAATCATTTTGATTTTTTTTATTATACACTATTTTTCATCAATCCAATAAGAACCAAGGTATACTTTTCAACAGGGACGTGCAGTCAGGGGAGGCAGGGGAGGCAGGGCCTCACCAGGGTCATGAGGAAAAGAAAAGAATAATTAAAATAATTAAAAAGGCTAAGGTAGTTGCTGCCAG